CCACCAGACTCCCACACAGGGGACAAAACCACCAGACCTCCACACAGGGGACACCACCAGACTCCTCCACACAGGGGACACCACCAGACTCCTCCACACAGGGGACAAAACCAAGCTCCTCCACACAGGGGACACCACCAGACTCCTCCACACAGGGGACACCACCAGACTCCTTCACACAGGGGACACCACCAGGCTCCTCCACACAGGGACACCACCAGACTTCTCCACACAGGGGACACCACCAGGCTCCTCCGCACAGGGGACACCACCAGACCACCAGGCTCCGCACAGGGGCACCTCACACAAGGGACACTACCAGGCTCCTCCACACAGGGGACACCACCAGACTCCTCCACACAGGGGACACACACACCAGACTCCTCCACAGAGGACACAGGGGACACCACCAGGCTCCACACAGGGGACACCAACAGGACTCCTCCACACAGGGGACACCAACGGACTCCTCTGCACAGAGCACACCACCAGACTCCTCCACACAGGGGAAACCACCAGACTTCTCCCACACAGGAGACACCACCAGGCTCCACACAGGGGACACCACCAGACGCAACTCCTCCACACAGGGGACACCACCAGGACTCCTCCGCACAGGGGACACCACCAGCTCCTCCGCACAGGGGACACCACCAGGCTCCTCCGCACAGGGGACACTGTTCTGGCACAGTAAAGATTGACAGTAACATTTACCTGTACAGGTAAGAATACAAATCTGAGCAATTGTCTGGAAATAGATACCTGAAAACTATGAAATGGCAATAAATGCTTCTCTGCCATAACCCAATCACCAATTACCATTATGTCTGTCCCACCTGTGTGGCGTCTGTCCCACCTGTGTGGCGTCTGTCCCACCTGTGTGGTGTCTCTCCTACCTGTGTGGTGTCTGTCCTACCTCGTGTGGTGTCTGTCCCACCTGTGTGGTGTCCCTACCTGTGTGGTGTGTCCTACTCGTGTGGTGTCTGTCCCACCTGTGTGGTGTCTGTCCCACCTGTGTGGCATCTGTCCCACCTGTGTGGCGTCTGTCCCACCTGTGTGGTGTCTGTCCCACCTGTGTGGCATCTGTCCCACCTGTGTGGTGTCTGTCCCACCTGTGTGGTGTCTGTCCCACCTGTGTGGCATCTGTCCCACCTGTGTTATGTCTGTCCTACCTGTGTGGTGTCTGTCCCACCTGTGTGGTGTCTGTCCCACCCTGTACCTGTGTGGTGTCTGTCCCACCTGTATCTTACCTGTGTGGTGTCTGTCCCACCTGTGTGGCGTCTACCTGTGTGGTGTCTCTTCTACCTGTGTGGTGTCTGTCCCACCTGTATGGTGTCTGTCCCACCTGTGTGTGGTGTCTGTCCCACCTGTATTATGTCTCTCCTACCTGTGTGGTGTCTCTCCTACCTGTGTGGTGTCTGTCACCTACCTGTGATGTCCTCTCCGGATGTCTGTCCTCACTGGATGTTGTCTTTTCTGTTTGTCCACCTTGGATGTGTCTGTCCTCCCTTTATAGTGGGGTCTCCAAACTTTCTGAAGGGCCAGTTTGCTTTTCTTCAGATTTTAGGGGGGACGGATTGTGGCCAGACGGAGTAGAAAATGCCCCAGCATCAGTGGGAGGAAAACAATTACATAGTACCTGTGGTACGTAGGAGGAGGAATAGTGCCCCATCATTGGTGTCAGTGGGAGGAATAGTGCCCCATCATTGGTGTCAGTGGGAGGAATAGTGCCCCATCATTGGTGTCAGTGGGAGGAATAGTGCCCCATCATTGGTGTCAGTGGGAGGAATAGTGCCCTCATTGGTATGAGTGGAAGGATGGAATGGTCCATCATTGGTGTCAGTGGGAGGAATAGTGCCCCATCATTGGTGTCAATGGAAGAAATAGTGCCCCATCATTATGGGTGTCAGTGGGAGGAATAGTGCCCCATCATTGGTGTCAGTGGGAGGAATAGTGCCCCATCATTGGTGTGTGCCCCAGTGGGAGGAATAGTGTGTGTCCCATCATTGGTGTCTGTGGGAGGAATAGTGCCCCATCATTGGTGTCGAATAGTGGTGTCAGTGGGAATAGTGCCCCATCATTGGTGTCAGTGGGAGGAATAGTGCCCCATCGTTGGTGTCTGTGGGAGGAATAGTGCCCCATCATTGGTGTCAGTGGGAGAAATGGTGCCCCATCATTGGTGTCAGTGGGAGGAATAGTGCCCCATCATTGGTGTCAGTGGGAGAAATGGTGCCCCGTCATTGGTGTCAGTGGGAGGAATAGTGTCCCATCATTGGTGTCAGTGGGAGGAATAGTGCCCCATCATTGGTGTCAGTGGGAGGAATAGTGTCCCATCATTGGTGTCAATGGGAAGAAATAGTGCCCCATGATGGTGTCAGTGGAGGAATAGTGCCCCATCATTGGTGTCAGTGGGAGGAATAGTGCCCCATCATTGGTGTCAGTGGGAGAAATAGTGCCCCCCATCATTGGTGTCAGTGGGGGAATAGTGCCCCATCATTGGTGTCAGTGGGAGGAATAGTGCCCCATCATTGGTGTCAGTGGGGGGAATAGTGTCCCATCATTGGTGTCTGTGGGAGAAATGGTGCCCCATCATTGGTGTCAGTGGGATGAATAGTGCATCATCATTGGTGTCAGTGGGAGGAATAGTGCCCTATCATTGGTGTCTGTGGAAGGAATAGTGCCCCATCATTGGTGTCAGTGGGAGGAATAGTGCCCCATCATTGGTGTCAGTGAGGATGAACAGTGCCCCATCATTGGTGTCAGTGGGAGGAATAGTGCCCCATCATTGGTGTCAGTGGGAGGAATGGTGCCCCATCATTGGTGTCAGTGGGAGGAATTGTGCACCATCATTGGCGTCAGTGGGAGGAATAGTGTACCATCATTGGTGTCTGTGGAAGGAATAACGCCCCATCATTGGTATCAATGGGAGGATTTATGCCTTATTGTTGGTGTCAGTGGAAGGAATAGTGCCCCACCCCATTTGTATGAGTGGAAGGATAGTGGTGTCTCATTGTTCTCTCCATTGGAAGGAATAGTGCCTCAGGGGACGCATAAAAGCAAGCAAAGGGCTGCATCTGGCCCTTGGGTCACAGTATGGAGACCCCCTGCTTTATAGTGTCTGTGATCCCTCCATGGTGCTTGTCCAGTGCCTATCCTTCCTGTGTTGTGTTTGTTCTGTGTTTGCCCTTCTTGCATAGAGTCTTTCCAGTGGCTTTCCTCTCTGCATGGTGTCTCTCTGGTGTAGGTCCTCTCTATAGGGTGTCTTTCTGGTGTCAGTCTTCTCTGCATTGTGTCTCTCTGGTGTCATTCCTCTATGTGGGTGTATCTCTGGTGTCTGGTCCTTTCTGTATGGTGTCTCCGTGGTGTCAGTGTGCTCTGTATGGTGTCTTTAGTGTCGGCCCTCTCTGTATGGTGTCTCTCTGGGTCAATCCTCTCTGTATGGTGTCTTTGGTGTCAGTCCTTCTCTGTATGGTGTCTCTCTGGTGTCGGTTCCTTTCTGTATGGTGTCTCCGTGGTGTCAGTCTGCTCTGTATGTCTCTAGTGTGGGCCCTCTCTGCAGGGGGTCTCTCTGGTGTCGATCCTCTCTGTATGGTGTCTCTCTGGTGTCAATCCTCTCTGTATGGTGTCTTTGGTGTCAGTCCTCTCTGTATGGTGTCTCTCTGGTGTCGGTCCTTTCTGTATGGTGTCTCCGTGGTGTCAGTCTGCTCTGTATGGTGTCTCTAGTGTGGGCTCTCTCTGCAGGGGGTCTCTCTGGTGTCAATCCTCTCTGCAGGGGGTCCCTCTGGTGTCAATCCTCTCTGTATGGTGTCTCTCTGGTGTCAATCCTCTCTGCAGGGGGTCTCTCTGGTGTCAATCCTCTCTGCAGGGTGTCTCCCTGGTGTGTCCTCTCTGGTGTCTCTCTGGTGTCAGTCCTCTCTGCAGGGTGTCTCCCTGGTGTCAATCCTCTCTGTAAGGTGTCTCTCTCCTCTCCATATGGTGTCTCTCTTCCTTGTAAGTGCCAGTGATGAATTTAGTCGTATTTTCCTCCTAGAGCACATACAGCCAGGCATACAGGATTTTCTGCATCCCTACAATGGCTCAAAAGAACAGTCTAGGGTTCCTTTTTAGATTTTTATTGGGAACAATGAACTTGGAGAGGGAGTATGAGATACCTGGTAGACTTGGACAACTTGGGGACTCCTTAACTTCCTGTCTGTATCTATACAAAAAAGGAATGTCCCACAGGATCTCAAAGCTGATGGTGACCTGTACTCCTTCCAGAGTTTAAAAGCTGCCCACAGTCACTAACTCTTAAGCACCGGGGTTATTTGGGGTCCACAGGATCATCGGTTGCCTCCTGCCGATATCCAACAGGCTCTTCCTAATTAGGGAGATGTAGAGTCACACCACCATAGGACATCTGGACTCCTTCCCACCAACTTCCTCATGGATCTCTCCAGACCCAACTTGATCCCTGGACTTGAATTTGTGAATAGCCCCACCTCAGCTAAGGCTAGCTGGGACCTCTGTATCTTCCTGGTGGCTCTTTCCCAAACTTCTGCCCCTGGGGTCTCCTCCTGCAGGACTGGACCCAGGAACTCTGCACACAGCTGCTCAGACCTCAGACTATTTATGGGTTCTCTAACCACCTTCTGGGCACACCTGCATATTGCCTAACTATTGTCTGTCCTCCTTGCATGGTGTCTGTCCATTGCCTGTCCTCCCTGTAAGGTTTCTCTCCAGTTTCTGTCCTCACGGCACAGCCAGGGGCGGACTGACCATTTGGAAACTCGGGCACTGCCCGAGGGCCCGGGGTCAATAGGGGGCCCCACGAGATGCCCCTGGTACCTTTTTCATAGACTTTTTTGAGTTTGGGCAAGGACAGAGGGGCCCCAATATCCCCTATTGCCCGGGGGCCCCATGAGTTGTCAATCCGCTCCTGGGCACAGCAATTGCCTTCTGTAGTTCCTCTGACCCTTTCCTTGTCTCTCCTCCTCAGGTCGGGGCTGGGGGATGCCGAAATGCCCCTCATTTGCCTGTCGGACTTCGAAGCCTACGCCAAAGATCATTTGCCGAAAGCCACCTGGGAGTATTATGCCGCAGGGGCCGATGACTGCTGTACACGGGACGACAACTTGCTCGCCTTCAAACGGTAAGCAGAGAGGATTCTGGAGGAACTTCCTTCACCTACAATGATAAAGCGGAACTCCGGCCAAAACATTTATTGCATTTTGAATCTTTGGAGAAGGGTCAGGTCATCAGCCGGGCCTTTATACCCTCCGTGCCACCATTGGTGCAATTCCCTTCATGCTCTGCAAGTTCTATCAAACGTGTTTTAAAGGTCGAGGCCAATCAGAATCACTAGTAAATGTACACATCAGGTTAGGTCCATCTGCCAGATCTATCAGGAGAGACTCCGTGAGTACAAAGCGCAATCATCCAAAATCCATCAACCAGCCAGATATTCCAGTACAAAGGGTGGACCGCCGAAAGTTTAAAGGGACATTTCACCCCAAACTGTCACTTCAGGGTTAAGTCGATGATAGAAATTTAAAGGCTTTCTTCTACTTTTTGTTGACTCTATTGGTGAGATCTCAGTGCTGAAAGGTGGCAGTTGAGGTGTTCAAACTGCAACTGGGTGGAGGCTCGGAGTTCCGTTGAACTGCAATTGTGGATTATGTAGCTCATGTTATCTAATGAATGGCTGGCAGGATTGTGGACCGTGTGCATGCGTCCCCCAGGTCCCACACCTACACATGGTGAGGGGGCTCCAGGGTTTATAACCAATATGGAAGAAACCTTTTATTTTCTCAAATTCTTAAGAAGTTCTGATTTGGGTCCTGGAGCCCGGAGGTTTGGTAGCCACATCTTACCTGGTAGCCAGACCTCAGTTGTCCACAGGCTTTTATATCTGTGACCTGACTGATGATCACGGCTCTCTCTCCTTTATACACAGATCTTTTTGACCACCCACCTAATATTGAGTAGGTCCCCCTTTTGCCACCAAAAAAGTCCTGACCCATTGAGATATGGACCCCAGTAGACCTCTGAAGGTATGCTGTGGTATCTGGCACCAAGCCATCAGTAGTAGATCCTGTAAGTTTGGAGGTGGGGCCTCCATGGATTGGACTTGTTTTTCCAGCACATCCCACAGATGCTTGATGTACTGAGATCTGGAGAATTTGGAGGCCAAGTCAACACTGCAGACTCGTTGTTGTGCTCCTCAAACCATATTTGCCGTGTGGCAGGACACATTATCCTGCTGGAAGAGGCCACTGCCATCAGGGAGTATCATTTCCATGAAAGGATGGTCTTGGTCACCAACAATGTTTCGGTAGGTGATATGTGTCAAGTAACATCCACATAAATGGCAGGAGCCATGGTTTCCCAGCAGAACATCGCCCAAAAAGCATCACACCGCCTCCGCCGGCTTGTTTTCTTCCCATACTGCATCCTGGTGCCATCTCTTCCTCAGGTAAGTGACACACACCCACCCGGCCATCCACATGATGTAATAGAAAACTTGATTCCTCAGACCAGGCCACCTTCTTCCATTGCTACGTGGTCCAGTTCTGATGCTCACGTACCCATTGAAGGCACTTTTGGCTGTGGACACGGGTTAGTATGGGCCCCCTGACCTGTCAATGGCTACACAGCCCCTGAGATGCTCTTTTTGTTCTGCTTTGCTCACATCAGCTTCAGGAACAACATGTTCACTCGCTGCCTAACATTTTCCACCCACTTGCAGATGCCATTCCAATGAGATAATCAATGTTCACTTTATCTGTCTGTGATCATAACATTATAGCTGACCTGTGTGTATCCTCATCAATGATCTCTCTCTCCTCTCTTTCCCCCCCCTCTCTCTCTCCTATCTCTCCCCCCTCCCCCCTCTCTCTCTCCTATCTCTCCCCCCTCCCCATTCTCTCTCTCCTATTTCCCCCCCTCTCTCTCCTATCTCTCCCCCCTCCCCCTCTCTCTCTCCTATTTCCCCCCCTCTCTCTCTCTCTCATCTCTAACTCTTTCTCTCCCTCCCATCCCCCCCCCCCTCCCCCCCCCCCCCCTCTCTCTCTCCTATTTCCCCCCCCCTCTCTCTCTCTCTCATCTCTAACTCTTTTCTCTCTCTCTCATCTCTAACTCTTTCTCCCCCCCCTCTCTCTCTCCTCCCTCTCCCCCCCTCCCCTCTCTCTCCCTTCCCCCCCTCTCTCTCCCCCTCTCTCCCCCCCCTCTCTCCCCCCTCTCTCCCTATCTCTCCCCCTCTATCTTCCTCTATCTCCCTCTCTCTCCCTCTCTCCTTCTCTCTCTCTTTCACCCCTTCCCCCTCCATCCCTCTCCCCCCTCCTCTCTCTGTCTCTCTTTCTCTCCCCCCCCTCTCGTCCTCTCTCTCTCCCTTCCCCCTTTCTCTCTCTCCCTCTCTCCCCTCCTCCCCCCTCTCTCTCCTCTCTCTCTCTCCCTCCCCTCTCCTTCTCTCTCTCCCCCTTTCCCCCTCCCCCCCCCTCTCTCTCCCCTCTCTCTCCCCCTCTCCCTCTCCCCCCCTCTCCCCCCTCTCCCCCCCCTCTCTCCTCTCTCTCCCTCTCCCCCCTCTCTCTCCCCTCTCCCTCTCTCTCCCTCCCCCCTCTCTCTCTCCCCTCTCTCTCCCTCCCCCTCCCCCCCCCCCTCTCTCTCTCTCTCCTTCTCTCTCTCCCCTCTCTCTCCTCTCTCTCTCCCTCTCTCTCTCCCCTCTCTCTCTCTCCCCTCTCTCTCTCCCCCCCCCCCCCCTCCCCCCCCTCCCTCCCCCCTCTCTCTCTCCCCTCTCTCTCCTTCTCTCTCCTTCTCTCTCTCCCCTCTCTCTCCTTCTCTCTCTCCCCCTCTCTCTCCTCTCTCTCCTTCTCTCTCTCCCCTCTCTCTCCTTCTCTCTCTCCCCTCTCTCTCCTTCTCTCTCTCCCCTCTCTCTCCTTCTCTCTCTCCCCTCTCTCTCCTTCTCTCTCTCCCCTCTCTCTCCCCCCTCTCTCCCCTCTCTCTCCCCCTCTCTCTCTTTCTCCCTGGCATCTGCCACCAGGCTCCAAGGAAAGGGTCCCCAGGCTTGGAGCTGCTCAGTCACAAATGCCCGGGCCTATTGTTTGTCCTAGTCCAGGCCTGGGGAGGGAACCCTATTGGCCAGGAACCTACCTGGGTTTAGTTATCGGCTTGCACTAGCAGAAATGATGATTGTTTTTTTTGCTGTGGACTTGCTGTACAAAGTCCTCCTGCTTTGAAACTGTTTGTTTTCTGTCCTGCAGTACAAATGTACAGAACAAATCTCCCTGCACTGTTCCTGGGTGTCCCTGTTTACCAGTGGAGTCTGCCCCCCTTGCAATATTTTAAATATTTTTGATGAACGTAATGAATTTTATGTTTTAGGTATGAAGAAGAGTATTTCTACAAAGTGGAGTAATTGTGAAATGTCTTTGCAGTATTCGGCTGAGACCTCGTATGCTGCGCGATGTGTCGGTCACGGATACAAGGACCACGATTTTGGGAACAGAGGTCAGTTGTCCGATCGGGATAGCACCTACAGCCTTCCACTGCCTGGCATGGCCGGATGGAGAGATGAGCACCGCCAGAGGTAGGGCATACCAATATGAACTGGGCTTGAAGCTTGACTTGCCATTGAAAGATTTAGACCCTGATTCATCAAGCTGCCATGCTTTTATTAGAAACCTAAAACTGCAATTAACGCATGCAAAAGTAGACCCTCAGTCGGTGCTTACTGTAGGTTACTTTAGCATGCCTTAAGTGGGCAGCACTCACCCCTGGGAAAGGCCGCTGAGAACATGCCCAGGTCCCCCTTCCTATTACAGACGTAGTTTCAATCACGACAACACAAGCTCAGTCTAGAGGATGGCTTTTTTATGGCCTGTATTGCAGAAACTTGAACAGGAGAGGAGATAAGGATTCAGGATACTCCAAAATGACAGCAGAGGACAACCAGAGGACAACTTCATTCTGAAGTCTCTTGAAACAGGATAACAGGGAATGGCCAGGAAAATCTGGAACTCTGTAAGAGCCGTCCCGGCCCATAACTTCTGTAACGTCTGGCACTTTACTCCCTCTAGCACATGCACACCTGGAATCCCACGTAAGGTCCTACTTACACTATCCTTGGGGTTGTCACTTGGAGAGTTAGCGAGAGGAGGACAGCCGGGATGGCTCTCCCAACAAAGTGGAGGAAGGGGCGAAGGCTTCAAATGACAGACTGGAAACACTGCTAATCCCAGTTTAGGAAAACCAATTCACTCATCAAATCTGATGGCACTGGAGAGCTTTTTAGGAGGACAGGGGATAGTATGCCACACCATGAATCCTCATGGTCAATGTCACACCACGAATCCTCTTGGTCAATGTCACACCACGAATCCTCTTGGTCAATGTCACACCACGAATCCTCTTGGTCAATGTCACACCACGAACCCTCATGGTCAATGTCATGCCTCGAATCCTGATGGTCAATGTCACGCCATGAATCCTGATGGTCAATGTCACACCACGAATCCTCTTGGTCAATGTCACATCAAGAATCCTCTTGGTCAATGTCACGCCATGAATCCTCTTGGTCAATGTCACGCCACGAATCCTCTTGGTCAATGTCACGCCACGAATCCTCTTGGTCAATGTCACGCCACGAATCCTCTTGGTCAATGTCACGCCACGAATCCTGATGGTCAATGTCACACCACGAATCCTCTTGGTCAATGTCACACCACGAATCCTCTTGGTCAATGTCACACCACGAATCCTCTTGGTCAATGTCACACCACGAATCCTCTTGGTCAATGTCACATCAAGAATCCTCTTGGTCAATGTCACACCACGAATCCTCTTGGTCAATGTCACACCACGAATCCTCTTGGTCAATGTCACACCACGAATCCTCTTGGTCAATGTCACACCACGAATCCTCTTGGTCAATGTCACACCACGAATCCTCTTGGTCAATGTCACACCACGAATCCTCTTGGTCAATGTCACATCAAGAATCCTCTGTCAATGTCACACCACGAATCCTCTTGGTCAATGTCACACACCACGAATCCTCTTGGTCAATGTCACACCACGAATCCTCTTGGTCAATGTCACCCACGAATCCTCTTGGTCAATGTCACACCTCAAATCCTGATGGTCAATGTCACGCCATGAATCCTCATGGTCAATGTCACACCATGAACCCTCATGGTCAATGTCACGCCATGAATCCTCATGGTCAATGCCACATCGCAAATCCTCATGGTCAATGTCACACCATGGAACCCTCATGGTCAATGTCACACCATGAACCCTCATGGTCAATGTCACGCCATGAATCCTCATGGTCAATGCCACATCGCGAATCCTCTTGGTCAGTACCACACCACAAATCGTTTTGGTCAGTGCCACAGAACAAATACTCTTGGCCAGTGCCACAGCCAGTGTGGACAGGAAAGAAAGCATAGTCTCTCCCAACAAAATGGAGGAAGTGGTGAAGGCTTCAAAAAACTGACTGGAAATACTGCTAATCCCAGTTTGTTAAAACCAAATCACTCATTAAATCTGATGGCAATTGGGAGCCTTTCAGGAGGATAGGAGACAGTATGCCACACCATGAATGCTCACCATCAGATGTTTGCCCCTTTATATGGTCAGTGCCACACCACGAATCCTCATGGTCAGTGCCACACCACGAATCCTCATGGTCAGTGCCACACCACGAATCCTCATGGTCAGTGCCACACCACGAATCCTCATGGTCAGTGCCACACCACGAATCCTCATGGTCAGTGCCACACCACGAATCCTCTTGGTCAATGCCACACCACACATCCTCTTGGTCAATGCCACACCACAAATCCTCTTGGTCAGTGCCACACCATGAATCCTCTTTGTCAGTGCCACACCATGAATCCTCTTGGTCAGTGCCGCACCACAAATCCTCTTGGTCATTGCCGCACCACGAATCCTCTTGGTCAGTGCCGCACCACGAATCCTCTTGGTTAGCGCCTCACCACGAATCCTCTTGGTCAGTACCGCACCACGAATCCTCTTGGTCAGTGCCGCACCACGAATCCTCTTGGTCAGTGCCGCACCACGAATCCTCTTGGTTAGTGCCGCACCACAAATCCTCTTGGTCATTAAGAGTTAGTGAATGGAGGACTGCCATGGTGAACGGGAAACAAAGCGTAGGCTCTCCCAACAAATGTGGAGGAAGTGGTGAAGGCTTCAAAAGACATGCTAGAAACACTGACAATTCTAGTTTGGGAAAACGAAATCACTCATGAAATTTGAGGGCATTGGAAAGTCCGCCAAGAGGATAGGGGACAGTATGCCACGCCATGAATCCTCATGGTCAATTCCAGACCACAACTTCTCATGGTCAGTGCCACGCCATGAATCCTCATGGTCAATTCCAGACCACAACTTCTCATGGTCAGTGCCACGCCATGAATCCTCATGCTCAATTCCAGACCACCACAACTTCTCATGGTCAGCGCCACGCCATGAAACCTCATGGTCAATCCCAGACCACAACTTCTCATGGTCAGCGCCACGCCATGAATCCTCATGGTCAATCCCAGACCACAACTTCTCATGGTCAGCGCCACGCCATGAATCCTCATGGTCAATTCCAGACCACAACTTCTCATGGTCAGTGCCACGCCATGAATCCTCATGGTCAATTCCAGACCACAACTTCTCATGGTCAGCGCCATGCCATGAATCCTCATGGTCAATTCCAGACCACACAACTTCTCATGGTCAGCGCCACGCCATGAATCTTCATGGTCAATTCCAGACCACAACTTCTCATGTGTCAGGGCAGGAGCTGAGGAACGGACAGGCAGGCCTAACAATGTAACGCACTGGCTGACGACAACCACCACCCACAGACCGAAGTCCCTCAGGGCGCGGAGTCTAAGTCCCAGGCTGCCCTTCACCAGGGCCCCTGATGGTGGGGATGGACTTGACGCAGCCAGGAACCAGGTCGCGGCCCCCGAGACACCTCAGCTGCGGTAATGGCCGCCGCCAATGGCGTGTAACTGGTGGAAGAGACAAAAGAGTAGTCAGACAAGCCGGGGTCAACAACAACAGGACAAAACGGTACAGGACAGCAGACAAGAATCACAGGTCACGAGCCGGGTTCAGCAACAGAGGGTCAGATCAAAGGAGAATACAAAGAATAGTCGAGTCACAAGCCGAATCAGAATACCAGGAGAGTCACGAGAGTCAGAACAGAGTAATAGCGACACAAAGACACAAGACACAGGTGCAAAGAGCATGTGCGGGTCACAGGCTTATATGTCATCAGCCACACCCCTCTGGGGATGGACCACAGAAACCTGAAGGCATAAAAGGATTCCCATCATGCACAGCAGAATCCAAGATGGATGCCAGCACATGGAGTAACATAACCTCAGGGAAAAGATAGGACCTTGACATCATGGTCAGTGCCACGCCATGAATCCTCATGGTCAATTCCAGACCACAACTTCTCATGGTCAGTGCCACACTTTGAATCCTTATGGTCGATGATACACATCAAATCCTCATGGTCAAATCCATATCCCCTTCTGACCACCTGTACTTCCACCTTCAGTAAAAAGAGAGATGGACAATTTCTCAGTATCTGTGCACCATTAGTATTCCAGATTTTAGTAGACTTCTCTCTACAGCTTTCTGTGTCAGTGGGAAACGTCAAGAACATGGCACATCCACGATTGGGATGGGTCCACCAAGAAGAGCCATTCTCCATCCTTACGCATCTAAGCTAGCTCCTTTTCTGGGAGTGTCTAACTATTGACTATGCTGGCCCAGCTCCTCCAGCCATCCGTTCACCTCCCTACATAAACATTATTGGGGAAGAAACAAAGGGAATACTGTGGAGTGACACGTGAGTGACAGCTGAGTCTGCTGGGGCTGTTGACATTAGAAGGTGCAGAAGTCTCAGGGCTTTTGGATTTGTCCACAAATGCAGTGAGTCCCTTCCGGCACTTTATTGCACTCAGGAGGGACAGATGTGGGGTCCTTCCCTGCTTCAGGCAGCCTGTCAAAGTCTATGGCAGGCTGCGGATGAACGCTATGCCTAGGAGTACCAGCATTTAGGGCCCTCTCCATTGAATGAACAGGGCCCCAGTCACTGGTACCACTCAATACAACATCCAGCCCCATCCAGCCGCAACCTGCCAAAGACTTTGACAGGCTGCCTGCTGCAGGGCTGGTCGCTGCCCCTGTCCCCCCATCCCCCCCATGCTTACCTGGGTGCAATAAAATGTCAGGAGGGATGCACTGCAGCCGGGGAAGAGGGCGGAGCTAAAGGAAAATGATCTGCTCTCTACTAGCTTCATTGGAGGGCAGCTGAGGTATCGGGTCTATTAACCCCCTGATTCCTCATTAACCACTTTACTACCGTGCTATAGCTGAATGACGGCTACAGGGGCCCGCACCCGGCACTCTCTGTGATCGCTGTGTCCTTTGGAAACAGCTGATCACATGACATAGTAACAGGCCAGTCAAAGCAGCCTTTTGCCATGTGATCAGCTGTGTCCAATCACAGCTGACCTCTATGTAAATACACAAATACACAGCAGTACTTTCCTCACGCCGTCACTGCGTGCCGAATGTGCTACCAGTAACCGGCAACTGTCAAAGGAGACATCTACACTGACAATTAGGGCAGCCCCAAAAGTGACCAACAGTGCTGTCCATCAGTGCCCAACAGTGCTGTCCATCAGTGCCCAAGGGTGCTGTCCATCAGTGCCCAACGGTGCTGCCCATCAGTGCCCAACAGTGCTGCCCATTAGTGCCCAACAGTGCTGCCAGTCTTTGCCCATCAGTACCACCTATCAGTGCCCATCAGTTCCGCATATCAGTGCCTCCTCATCAATGCCCACCAGTGCTCACTATCAGTGCCGCCTCAACAGTGCCCATCAGTGCTAGGCAGGAAGGGGGTAGAAGTGCCTGGTAGGCAGGAAGGGGGTAGAAGTGCCTGGTAGGCAGGAAGGGGGTAGAAGTGCCCGGTAGGCAGGAAGGGGGTAGAAGTGCCCTGTAGGCGGGAAGGGGGTAGAAGTGCCCTGTAGGCGGGAAGGGGGTAGAAGTGCCCTGTAGGCGGGAAGGGGGTAGAAGTGCCCGGTAGGCGGGAAGGGGGTAGAAGTGCCCGGTAGGCGGGAAGGGGTAGAAGTGCCCGGTAGGCGGGAAGGGGGTAGAAGTGCCCTGTAGGCAGGAAGGGTGTAGAAGTGTCCGGTGGGCAGGAAGGGGGTAGAAGTGCCCTGTAGGCAGGAAGGGGGTAGAAGTGTCCTGTAGGCAGGAAGGGGGTAGAAGTGTCCTGTAGGCAGGAAGGGGGTAGAAGTGTCCTGTAGGCAGGAAGGGGGTAGAAGTGTCCTGTAGGCAGGAAGGGGGTAGAAGTGTCCAGTAGGCGGGAAGGGGGTAGAAGTGCCCTGTGGGCGGGAAGGGGGTAGAAGTGCCCTGTGGGCGGGAAGGGGGTAAAAGTGCCCTGTGGGCGGGAAGGGGGTAAAAGTGCCCGGTGGGCGGGAAGGGGGTAGGAGTGCCCGGTGGGGCGGGAAGGGGGCAGAAGCGCCCGGTGGGCAGGAAGGGGGTAGAAGCGCCCTGTAGGCGAGGGGTTAAAGAGAACCTGATGCCTCCATAAAGTGAACCTGTCACAACATGTATGCTGTAACATGATGTGAACATGAAAACAAATGTTCAATGCCTCCACCCCCACCTAGAAAAACGCATGCGTTGGGGTGCATTCCTCCTCCCACTGACACACCAATGATGGGGCACTATTCCTCCCACTGATACCAATGATGGGACACTATTCCTCTCACTGACACCAATGATGGGGCACTATTCCTCCCGCTGACACCAATGATGGGGTACTATTCCTCCCACTGATACCAATGATGGGACACTATTCCTCCCACTGACACCAATGATGGGGTACTATTCCTCCCAGTGACACCAATGATGGGGTACTATTCCTCCCAGTGACACCAATGATGGGGCACTATTCCTCCCACTGACACCAATGATGGGACACTATTCCTCCCACTGACACCAATGATGGGACACTATTCCTCCCACTGACACCAATGATGGGACACTATTCCTCCCACTGATACCAATGATAGGGCACTATTCCCCCCACTGATACCAATGATGGGGCGCTATTCCTGCCACTGACACCAATGATGGGCACTATTCCTCCCACTGATACCAATGATGGGGCACTATTCCCCCACTGACACCAATGATGGAGCACTATTCCCCCCACTGACACCAATGATAGGGCACTATTCCCCCACTGATACCAATGATGGGGCGCTATTCCTCCCACTGATACCAATGATGGGGCACTATTCCTCCCACTGACACCAATGATGGGGCACTATTCCCCCCACTGACACCAATGATGGGGCACTATTCCCCCCACTGACACCAATGATGGGGCACTATTCCCCCCACTGACACCAATGATGGGCACTATTCCTCCCAGTGACACCAATGATGAGGTGCCATTCCTCCCACTGACACCAATGATGAGGTGCCATTCCACCCACTGACACCAATGATGAGGTGCCATTCCACCCACTGACACCATTGATGAGGTGCCATTCCTCTCACTGACACCAATGATGAGGTGCCATTCCACCCACTGACACCAATGATGAGGTGCCATTCCTCCCACTGACACCAATGATGAGGTGCCATTCCTCCCACTGACACCAATGATGGAGCACTATTCCTCCCACTGACACCAATGATGAGGTGCCATTCCTCCCACTGACACAGATAATTAACTTTACTGTATAATTACTGAAATTTTTAGTTTTCCTAAACCATTGCAACATTATGGTACGACATAAAAGATTGGACCTACCACCATTATATTCTCCAGGGTCTCTACTTTCAGAAAATATTCAACACTCCATGCAGCTAGTGGCTTTGGTGGGACTTCAGAAGCCAAGAGCAATGTGCATGTATCCATGTGGATGGTGTGAGATGTTTTTGGTGTTTGTCTTCCAGCGGCTGAGGGCCTCAATCTGTGCTACGTGGCCAGCACCTACTCCACCTGCTCCGTGGAAGAGATCGTGGCTGCAGCCCCTGAAGGGCCACGTTGGTTCCAGCTCTACGTGTACCGTGACCGCAAGCTGTCCGAGGGGTTGGTGCATCGGGCGGAGGCTCTGGGTTTCAAGGCTTTGGTGTTGACCGTGGACGTCCCGTATACAGGCAAGAGGAGGAGCGACATACGAAACAACTTTCGTCTCCCGCCGCATCTCAAGGTCAAAAAACTTTGAAGGGGTTTTTGAGGTGAGATTTTCTTTTTCCTTTTACAGTGGGGCGAAAAAAGTATTTAGTCAGCCACCAATGGTGCAAGTTCTTCCACTTACAAAGATGAGAGAGGCCTGTAATTGGCATCATAGGGAGACCTCAACTATGAGAGACAAAATGAGAAAACAAATCCAGACAATCTCATTGGCTGATCTGGAAAGAATTTATTTGCAAATTATGGTGGAAAATAAGTATTTGGTCACCTACAAACAAGCAAGATTTCTGGCTCTCACAGACCTGGACCTTCTTCTTTAAGAGGCTCCTCTGTCCTGCACTCATTACCTGTATCAATGGCTCCTGTTTGAACTTGTTATCAGTATAAAAGACACCTGTCCACAACCTCAAACAGTCACACTCCAAACTCCACTATGGTGAAGACCAGAGAGCTGTCGAAGGACACCAGAAAACACAATTGTAGACCTGCACCAGGCTGGGGAAGACTGAATCTGCAATAGGCAAGCAGCTTGGTGTGAAAAAATCAACTGTGGGAGCAATAATTAGAAAATGGAAGACATACAAGACCACTGATAATCTCCCTCCATCTGGGGCTCCACGCAAGATCTCACCCCGTGGGGTCAAAATGATCACAAGAACGGTGAGCAAAAATCCCAGGACCACACGGGGAACCTAGTGAATGACCTGCAGAGAGCTGGGACCAACGTAACAAAGGCTACCATCAGTAACACACTACGCCGCCAGGGACTCAGATCCTGCAGTGCCAGACGTGTCCCCCTGCTTAAGCCAGTACATGTCCGGGGGCCCCTCTGAAGTTTGCTAGAGAGCATTTGGATGATCCAGAAGAGGATTGGGAGTCATATGGTCAGATGAAACCAAATAGAACTGTTTGGTAGAAACACAACTCGTCGTGTTTGGAGGAGAGAGAATGCTGAGTTGCATCCAAAGAACACCATACCTACTGTGAAGCATGGGGGGGGTGGCAACATCATGCTTTGGGGCTGTTTCTCCGCAAAGGGACCAGGCTGACTGATCCATGTACAGGACAGAATGAATGGGGCCATGTATCGTGAGATTTTGAGTGCAAACCTCCTTCCATCAGCAAGGGCATTGAAGATGAAACGTGGCTGGGTCTTCCAACATGACAATGATCCCAAACATACCGCCCGGGCAACGAAGGAATGGCTTCATAAGAAGCATTTCAAGGTCCTGGAGTGGCCTAGCCAGTCTCCAGATCTCAACCCCATAGAAAACCTTTGGAGGGATTTGAACGTCCGTGTTGCCCAGCGACAGCCCCAAAACATCACTGCTCTAGAGGAGATCTGCATGGAGGAGGAGATCTGCATGGAGGATGGGCCAACATACCAGCAACAGTGTGTGCCAACCTTGTGAAGACTTCCAGGAAACGTCTGACCTCTGTCATTGCCAACAAAGGATGTATAACAAAGTATTGAGATGAACTTTTCATATTCACCAAATACTTATTTTCCACCATAATTTGCAAATAAATTCTTTCCAGATCAGCCAATGAGATTGTCTGGATTTGTTTTCTCATTTTGTCTCTCATAGTTGAGGTCTCCCTATGATGCCAATTACAGGCCTCTCTCATCTCTGTAAGTGGGAGAACTTGTACAATTGGTGGGGACTAAATACTTTTTTGCCCCACTGTGTGTAACTTTTACTTTCGGGATAATAACGGGCCGTATTGGGAGGAGAGGAAGGGTCAAACTCTAAGAGATATGATGGCTCCAGATTTGGTGTTACATTAGAGACTTCCAGCAAGTTGTCCTCGGTATTTCATCGGTTCCATCGGCCATCCCATGTGCCCCTTACCCCATCCAAGTTGATATCCCCCTAATAAAACATCAAAAACAAGCTCAAGGACTGAATACTGACTCCTGGATGCAATCTGTGGAAAATGCGTGTTGCCTGTCTGTGCAGGACTGTAGGGGGACCCAAAATCTATTGCAACTCCTAAGGGGTTAGTGCTGCACAGAATATTTATGTGTGGCCCCGGGTGATGCCAGGGGCCCAATCTCTAGTAAGTTGGCCCGCACTGGTCTAAACCCTCCCACACGCCAGGCAAATCTTTAGATATATTTTACTCTTCTCTCTGTAGAATCAATGCGGTCCTGACAACTACGGTGTCCCGGCCAACACCCTGGACCCTTCTATCAGCTGGAAGGATATTGTTTATTGGCTCCAGAATCTGACTCGCCTACCAATCATCATCAAGGGAATAACTGACAAAGGAAGACGCGGAGTTGGCGGTAGAGCACGGTGTCCAAGGCATCATCGTATCCAATCATGGGGGCGCCAGCTGGACGGAGAACTCGCCACGGTATGGTAAAATACTTGGGGAGGAGATACAACACCGGCTTGGAAGCAGTGGTCTCTCTGCAGAGGTCTGACGTGCTCCCCTGAGTCAGAGCTGACTTGTCATGGACAGGGGCATGTATCCACAGGAAGAGGGCCTGTCTAGGTCTAGGAGATTACAGGAGCATACCAGAGAGCTTTGCAGTCACTGGGGTCATGGGGTATCACAGGATGCTTAGAGTGCTCTGGGGCCACTAGTGTCATGGGGTGTGCCAAGATGATCAAAGTGCCCTGAAATCACTGGGTCATGGGGTAATGTAGGGTGCTCTAGAGTCATGGGGTGTGTCAGGTTGATCAAGTTGCCCTGAATTCACTGGGGTCATGGGGTTACACAGGATGCTCAGGACACGTTAGATTCTCAGGGCACTCTGTGGGATGTGGGATTCTCAGGGCACTCTGTGGGATGTGGGATTCTCAGGGCACTCTGGAGTCCTGGGCTCATGGGGTTACATCAGATGCTCAGGGTTCTCTGGAGTCGCAGGGGTCATGGGGTGATATGGGATTCTCAGGGTACTTAGGGGTCACTAGTGTCAAGGGGTGATGCAGGGTGCTCCAGAGTGATGGGGTGTGTCAGGATGATCAAGGTGCCCTGTAGTCGGTGCTCATAAGGTGACACAGGATGCTCTGGGCGCTCTGGAGTCATGGGGTGACATGGGAATCTTGGGGTTCTCTGGAGTCACTAGGGTCATGGGAAGACAGAGGATTCTCAGGGTACTTAGGAATCACTGGGATCATGGGGTGACATTGGATTCTCAGGGTTCTCTGCAGTCACTAGGGTCATGGGGTGACAGGGTTTTCTGGAGTCACTGGAGTCATGGGGTGACATGGGATTCTCAGGGTACTTAGGAACCACTGGGGTCATGGGGTGACATAGGATTCTCAGGGTTCTCTGGAATTACTAGGGTCATGGGGTGACATGGGATTCTCAGGGTACTTAGGAGTCACTGGGGTGACATGGGATTCTCAGGGTACTTAGGAGTCACTGGGGTCATGGGGTGACATGGGATTCTCAGGGTACTTAGGAGTCACTGGGGTCATGGGGTGACATGGGATTCTCAGGGTTCTCTGGAGTCACTGGGGTCATGAGGTGACATGGGATTCTCAGGGTTCTCTGGAGTCACTGGGGTCATGAGGTGCCATGGGATTCTCAGGGTTCTCTGGAGTCATGGGGTGACATGGGATTCTCAGGGTACTTAGGAATCACTGTGGTCATGGGGTGACGGGATTCTCAGGGTTCTCTGCAGTCACTAGGGTCATGGGGTGATATGGGATTCTCAGGGTATTTAGGTGTCACTGGGGTCATGGGGTGACATGGGATTCTCAGGGTTCTCTGCAGTCACTAGGGTCATGGGGTGATATGGGATTCTCAGGGTATTTAGGTGTCACTGGGGTCATGGGGTGACATGGGATTCTCAGGGTTCCCTGGAGTCACTGGGGTCATGGGGTGACATGGGGTTCTCAGGGTACTTAGGAGTCACACGGTTAATGGGGCGATGAAGGATGGCAGCAAAGAGAGAGCTGTCTCCTGACTCGCATTAGTGCCAACATTCCAGATGGTTGTGCTCCAAAGAGGTGACCTGGCACTGGAGTGGAGGAGGGGGGAGTGTGACAAATCCAATCAGCAAGGAGCTTGAGCGTTGCAGATTGTAGAATGGTAGGTGAAGACTCTGGCTGTATTATGGTCACCTCATTCACCCCGGAAGGGCACAGCCCGGGCATCACTCTAAAATTTCAGCAGATGTATTTCAGAGGTAAAGCTTCTAGTACAGTGAACCTCCAGACATTGCAGGGGATGCCCATGACGGGGCATCAGGTTCTGTGCAGTAAATGAACACAATGTAGGTGTCTGGACCAGGGGCGGACTGACAACTCATGGGGCCCCCGGGCAATAGGGGATCATGGGGCCCCTGTGTCCTTGCCCAAACTCAAAAAAGCCTATGAAAAAGGTACCAGGGGCATCTCATGGGGCCCCCTACTGACCCCGGGCCCTCGGGCAGTGCCCGAGTTTCCAAATGGTCAGTCCGCCCTTGGTCTGGACTGTATTACTGACTGTTTGTGGCTCATGTGTTTCTGAGGCTGTCCAAAACCTTTTCACAGATTGATGCTCTTTCCGAGATCGTGGAGGCGGTCCAGGGCCGCATGAGGTGTACATAGATGGCGGCATAAGAACAGGAAGTGATGTCCTGAAGGCCTTGGCCCTAGGGGGCAAAGTGTGTGTTCATTGGACGGCCCATTGTGTGGGGTCTCGCCTACAAGGTCTGTCTATAAAGATACCTTTATTGTCCAATTATGAATTCTGAAATTTTTTATAGACCGGATCCATCCTAAATATAGAACCATTTACCCAACCGTCCAATCAGAGCCTCTGGTTTATAGACTGGATCCATCCTAAATATAGGGCCATTTACCCAACCGTCCAATCAGAGCCTCTGGTTTATAGACCGGATACATCCTAAATATAGAGCCATTTACCCAACCGTCCAATCAGAGCCTCTGGTTTATAGACTGGATCCATCCTAAATATAGAGCCATTTACCCAACCGTCCAATCAGAGCCTCTGGTTTATAGACCGGATACATCCTAAATATAGAGCCATTTATCCAACCGTCCAATCAGAGCCTCTGGTTTATAGACCAGATACGTCCTAAATATAGAACCATTTATCCAACCGTCCAATCAGAGCCTCCAGCTGGCCGGTGCTTGCAGCTGGCTACACAGGAAGGCGCCCCGCTGGCTCTTCCCACCTCATCCAGTTTGCCTGCATTTAGTAGATATAAGCTGGACCTAGGGTATGCTGCGCCCTCCCTCTATGGATGCTGTGCCCGGCCTGCTGTTCTCCTCCTCCCATCCCCGGGGCAGATCTCGTCCTCCCCACACAGCACATAGATGAAATCGGATTCTTTTACAGACACAACCTCCATCTGCACAGTATGTTGCTGCTCTGACCTGTGAAATCTCCAGCACAGCTGCAGTAGCCGGCTACACATTGTGCAGGTGGAGGCTGTGTCTGTAAAAGAATCTGATCTAATTTTATGTGCTGTGTGGGGGGAGGGGGGGGGAGCTCTGCTGTGTGTCTTGCCAGCACTGACCTTTATCCTCTGCCCCACTGACCCATTCCCCACTCTGATGACCCCATCCTCCACCCTGCTGACCCCTGTCCTCTGCCCCACTTACCCCATACTCTCTGTCTTGTTGACCCCTTCCTCCGCCCTACTGACCTCTGTCCTCTGCCCCATCGACCTCTGTCCTCTGCCCCATCGACCTCTGTCCTCTGCCCCATCGACCTCTGTCCTCTGCCCTGTTGACCCCTGTCCTCTGCCCCACTGACCCCTGTCCTCTGCCCTACTGACATCTGTCCTTTGCTTCACTTACCCTGTCCTCTGTCTTGCTGACTCCATCCTCCACCCTTCTGACCCCTGTCTTCCGCCCCGCTGACCCAGTCTTCTGCCCCGCTGACCCTGTCCTCTATCTTGCTAACCCCATTTTCCACACTACTGACCCCTGTCCTCTGCTCTGTTGACCCCTGTCCTCTGCCTTGCTGACCCCATCGTCCACCCTGTTCACCCCTGTCCTCTGCCTCACTGACCCCTGTCCTCTGTCTTCCTGACCCTATCTTCCACCCCCACTGACCCCTGTCCTCCTGACCCCATCCTCGACCCTATTGACCCCCCTGTCTGACCCCTCTGTGACCCCTTCCCTGACCCCATCCTCCACACTATTGACCCCTGTCCTCTGTCTTCCTGACCCCATCCTCCACCCTACTGACCCTTGTCCACTGCCCCACTTACCCCATACTCTCTGTCTTGTTGACCCCTTCCTCCGCCCTACTGACCCCTGTCCTCTGCCCTGTTGACCCTTGTCCTCTGCCCTGTTGACCCCTGTCCTCTGCCCTGTTGACCCCTGTCCTCTACCCCGTTGACCCCTGTCCTCTGCCCGTTGACCCCTGTCCTCTGCCCCGTTGACCCCTGTCCTCTGCCCCGTTGACCCCTGTCCTCTGCCCTGTTGACCCCTGTCCTCTGCCCCGTTGACCCCTGTCCTCTGCCCCACTGACATCTGTCCTTTGCCCCACTGACCCTGTGCTCTGTCTTGCTGACTCCATCCTCCACCCTTCTGACCCCTGTCTTCTGCCCCGCTGACCCTGTCCTCTATCTTGCTAACCCCATTCTCCACCCTACTGACCCCTGTCCTCTGTCTTCCTGACCCTATCTTCCACCCTACTGACCCTTGTCCTCCTGACCTCATCCTCCACCCTGTTGACCCCTGTCCCCTGCCCCACTGACCCCTGTCCTCCTGACCCCATCCTTGACCCTATTGACCCTTGTCCTCTGTCTTCCTGACCCCATCCTCCACCCTACTGACGCCTGTCCTCTTTCTTCCTGACCCCATCCTCCACCCTACTGACCCCTGTCCTCTGTCTTCCTGACCCCATCCTCCACCCTACTGTCACCTGTCCTCTGTCTTCCTGACCCCATCCTCCATTCTACTGACCCCTGTCTTCTGTCTTCCTGAGCCCATTTTCCACCCTACTGACCCCTGTCCTCTGTCTTCCTGACTTCATCTTCCACCCTACTGACCCCTGTCCGCTGCCCACCTGACCCCATCTTCCACCCTACTGACCCTGTCCTCTGTCTTCCTGACCCCATCCTACACCCTACTGACCCCTGTCCTCTGCCCCACTGACCCCATCCTCCACCCTACTGACCCCTGTCCTCTGTCTTCCTGACCCCATCCTCCACCCTACTGACCCCTGTCCTTTGCCCCACTGACCCTGTCCTCCTGTCTTGCTGACTCCATCCTCCTTCCTTCTGACCCCTGTCTTCTGCCCCGCTGACCCTGTCTTCTGCCCCGCTGACCCTGTCTTCTGCCCCGCTGACCCTGTCCTCTATCTTGCTAACCCCATTCTCCACCCTACTGACCCCTTTCCTCTGTGCTGTTGACCCCTGTCCTCTGTCTTGCTGACCCCATCGTCCACCC